CGTTGAAGGTTATGAGCCACCACATGACTACAGAAAACTGAGCCTGGGTCCTCTGCAAGAGCATTAAGTTCTCTGGATGCTGAACCATCTCTCCAGCCCGTTTTCATAAACTTTACCCCCAACTCTCAAGCCATTCTGCCTGCCTGACAGGATACTCACCACCCCTGAGCCTTCCCAACTCCTGACTCAGCACTTCTGACATGTTAATGTCACCGTAAATGTCTCCTCCCTAGAGCTGGTGGCTAATGGCATAAATGTGATGCTGGACAATCTTGTATTCAGTGTCTGTTTTCCTATTCAATTCCCTGCAGGAAGGCAGGCTCCATATTGGCCTGTTCTCGCCTGTTCTGATGCTGTTTGCATTGGGGCAGGCACCTTTAGCCTCGCCAGTGAATGCCCACAGAAAAGATTCACTACAAAAACTCAGAGGCATGTTGATTTTTACTTCCAGGCAGTGATTTGGCTGCTTTAGGAATCTCTGTACTTGCTCAGGACTGGCCACCCATTAGGTTCTTAACTACCAAAGCATCTCAAGCCAGCGGGCAGACAGGTCATTGTGGGATCCTTTTTTTTAGAGGTTATTGCAGTGTTAGAGTGCCTCTCTTTGGGGACAGGAGGCCCACAGGAGCATAGTGCAGAGGAAGCCTGGAGAGAAGTGACTGAGCCTGGGGATATCTTCCTGTGCAGCCTGGGGTACGTGTCTGAGCATCTGAGAAACGTGGTTGTTGGCAGAAGTCTGGTTCATCTCCATGTGCAGCCAAGATTGCTTAATGTTTGCTCGCTCTTTTCCTTCCTTCCTTCCTTCCTTCCTTCCTTCCTTCCTTCCTTCCTTCCTTCCTTCCTTCCTTCCTTCTTTCCTTCCCTTCTCTTCCCCTTCATCCTTCCATCTTTCTTTCTTCCTTTCTTTTCTTTATCCCTCTTTCCCTTCCTCCCTCCCTCTCTCCTTCCCCCCTTTCTCTCCTTCCCTCCATCCCTCTCTCCCTCCCTCACCCCTCCCTCATTTCCTCCCTTCCTCCTCCCCTCCTTCCATCCTTCCCTTTCTTATTATGGAACTGTGACTCTAAGAACATCCCATGTACTAGGCAAGAACTGGACATCTGAGCTAACTCACCTATTTCTTTTTTACTTTTTGTTACTATTTATATTTATTCGTTTATATGTGTGCAGGTCGGTGTGTGTATCCATGCAGGTACAAATGGATTCCTATGGAGGCCAGAAGAGGGCATCAGATCCTCTGGAGCTGGAGTTACAGGTGGCTGTGAGCAGCCCAATGTAAGTGCTGGGAACGGAACTCAAGTCCTCTGCAAGAACAGTAAGCTGTTAATCTCCAAGCCATCTATCTATCTAGCCCCTTGACTTCTAGTTTTGACACATAGTCTCCCTAAATCACTCAGACTGGCCTTGAACTCACACTGCAGCCCAGACAGGGCTTGAACTTGCAGCCTTCCTGCCCACCCCTCCCTGAGTAGCCAGGACTGCAAGCTTGCATCACTAGACCTGACAGATTTCTTAACAAATAACAGTGCTAGTAGGCACTTGCTTGGAAGGAAGCTTGTGATTCCAACACCTAAAAATACCTGCAAAATCATCTTATGTCCCAAAGACATTACAACGGCAGTAAGCCTATTCATAACCCCACATATCTCACCCAGTATACAAGTGCAGAGTGTTTGTCACACATATGTTGGAATTTTCTACAAATACAGTTACATTAAAGGAAAAAACCAAGGGGGAGTTGAAGTTGGGGCTGTAAGTAGCCTCAACGAGAGCTGTTGGGCCTTTTGGTAAACTGTAGCTAACAACCCTGCCACAGGAGGACTGAGAGTCCCCGGGATCTGTTTGAGACACCTGCTGATATGAAGCGTAGGTCCACTGGCCTCACCCTCTTCTGTCCCCTGCCTTTGCCTAGATGGCAGCTTTTTTCATAGATATTTATACAAACTTCGCCATGTCTTTTCTTGTCTAAATTCACTTTTCTGTCATCTGTGAACCTAGAGGAGTCTTCTCACCTCCATGATTTAAATCCTACATGCCACATTCTAGCACTAAGCATCCATCCATCAATAGCTCAGAATCACGGATTTGTCTCTGTAAACCTATCAGTCATTCCAATTACTCTCTCTCCCTTGCTCCTGTCAAGTGTCAGGAAACACAAAACAGAGACGATTAAAGAAAATCAAATGGACCCCTAGCCAAACCAAAAATACTTCCAAAAGTTACAGGAATTCACGCCCAACTCCTATAAATAGTTTTCAAAGTATTTAATATGAGTCTTATGATACAAGACAGTTGATTTAAGTGCCTGCTACCGAAATCATCTGTGCTATTTTAGAAAGCAGGGGGAAGTGTCAATAAAATATGTTTCTGCCATGCGAGCCTACAGATACTGTAAGTGAAGTTTATATAAAAATTAAAAATTAATAGCTGAGGAGAGAGGAGTAGCACACTCTAGAAAATGCTCTTTAAGCTACCCTTTCTGTGACATTGACTAGGGCATCCTGAGGGGACTGTGCTCTGGAAAGGCTACCCATGGGTACCCCTAGTCAGATGATTGGAGCTTTGAGGGAGACTCTTGACTTTCCATGGGGTGTAGCCTCTTTGGTACCTCAGAAGTGTCACACTGATAAGGCCAAAATGCTTCTGTACCATTATTCAGTGACCTTTCACGGAAATGTCAAGGTAGCTAATAAGCCCTATTTGTCAGAGTTTCCTTTGGACATAAAGAATATTCCTGTCTGCATAGAATGTCCAAGTTGTTGGTTTTGTTGGTGTTTAAAGCTTGGCCTAGTTTACAGTTACATCTCTGTAAACTTGAATTTAGGAGCCAGAATGACCTTCTGGTGCTTCTCTGGTTGTGTGGACTGGATAAGGACATTTTTAAGATATTGGTGAAATTTATTAGAGAATCACAATTGTCACTTGGATTTAGTTACTTCATCACCCAGTGCCCTGATTATGTGACCCCGTGGTAGCAGAACTGATGAGATTATCAGTGTGAGCTTCTTCTCCTTTAAAGAAGGTGGTTTCAGTAAGGAAGAGCTCAGGGTAGGGAAACAGAAGCAGGAAAGGGACATACGGGTGTGTAAGCTATCAACATAATGCACGGGGCCAGTATGAGTTGTTGCTGTAGGCGGCATGAGCCCAAGCCCAGCAGCACCATGGCAAGGAATACATGCTGCTTCTAAGGCAGGTCTGCTCAAAGGGTTGAAAGCCACAAAGATGATGTTTGTTGACTGGGGACATTAGCATTCCTCCCAACTGAGAAGACTGCAGCGGAGAGGGAAGACTCAAAGTGGCTGTCAAGTAAGAGACTACAAATCGTGAAGGGTTGTATCTGAATGCTTTATCCCAGCCACAGGAGGAAAGATGTCCAGTCAGGATATGGGAGTCAGGTGCTTCTGCTTCCAGGGACGGCACCCTACTTTTCTCTTCTATTTGACTGTTGGTCAGGCAAACAAAGATCATGGGAAGAGCTGAAATGGAAGGCAGGTGCGACTTTAGACTTTCTGCTGTTATAGCAAACTGTGTGGTATATAGAGGAACGGTGCAGCATTGTAGTTGCTTTTGGATTCTGACGACTACAGGGAAACAAATTTGCGAAGAAGCTGGAGAGTGATGAGCAGTCCACTGCAGGCGATGTGTAGGAGCTCTCTCTTACAGGTCTACAGAAGTGATGACACATACAAGCAAAAAGAGCATGGTGTTCTTCACACCCATTAACCTCTTCAGGACAAATGGGAGCAGGCACAACAGGGACCTGAAACAATGCAAAGTTTTATCCTCTTCCCTGGAAAATATACAGCCCCCTAACCTGAAAGCCCCAAGCATGTGATGGTAAAAGTGTGAGGTAGAGCCAGTCGTGGTTTAGAATAGCCTTGCAGACTCCCGACTTCTCATTTTATCATTAAAATAAAAACAATGACATCTTCTGAGTAGGACCCTGAGATAAATCTGGAGTTTCTGCCATCTAAAAGTCCAAACTACAGAACAGATTAGAGCTGAGAGACTGAATAACGGAAAGTCATCTGTGCACATGTTTAAGTAAATGCTTTAAGAAGGAGGCTCTTAGCATCCTTACCAAGTAGTATGGTCGTGAGTGAGGTGAGGAGACATGAGTGAGGTGAGGAGACAGATTGATCTGAGGAGGTATCGTGGTTTAATAAGAATGGTCCCCATTGGCTCTGTCACTTGAAGGATTAATCATCAGGGTGTAGTACTAGTTAGAAGGACACCACCAGCTGGGGACCAAGTGTTCAAACATGTGAGCCTGTGGGGACAGGTTCATACAGATTCATATCCAAACTATGCCAGGCAGTGAAAGGTGAATTAAAACATCAGTTACCATTAGACCAGACCATGTGATTTCCATTACCTTATGTGTTTGCATGGGCTCTCCATAGAAACAAGACACACACATGAACTGGGACTGACTGCCTCATGCTCTGGTTATCATGACTTTCCTGACATGGTGACCTGTATCTTCAGAACCCATATAAAAGTTGGGCATAACAGTGTGTGTAATACCAGTTCTGGGAAGGGGAAGTCCCTAGAACTCACTGGTTAGCCAGTCTCATGAGCTGGTGAACTCCAGGTCCAGGGCAATCGGAAAAGACTCCTGATGTCAATCTGCGGCCGCACACACATGCATTCCCATGCGCTCTGCGCATACACAGGAATACGTATCCAAAAGAGAGATTTAACATGTAAATGAGTCCTACATTTAATTGAACTAGCTTCTTAATTTTCACACAGAAAAGCATGTGTCTGGACTCCTAAGATTTAGGAAGTTTCTTTTTCCAGCTTTATGAATGACTGCATGGGCTGTCCCTGGAGAGAAGTCCACAGAAGACTTGGCAGGTTGGTCACTGTAGAAAGAGACAGCACAACAGCTTTTGCTGTGATGGTGATTCTGTGGTGAGCGTAAGCCATGTCCTGATTGGTCAGAGGGTGGAGGAGGCATGGTTTGCTGGTCCCAAGCAGTTGGTCCTGGTGCCTCACCTTCATTGGGTACTCTGTCTCTCCAGATTCCACACTGGCTCCTCATGGTGGTGTTCTTGGAAATGAGGCTCTTCTCAGGAGAAACCAAACATGTTCTTGTTAGTACAGGAAGGGTTTCTGGGGCTGTCTTCTGGGGATGTCCAGTTTAATAATATTACTTTAAGGATCAAGATAGAAGTGGAAGGTCTTCTCATGAATTAGATATTAAGGGTAGAGATTAAATAGTGTGCACACTCAGCTGAGCTGCTGGGGCAGGGTGTATGCAGACCTTCAGAAGCAGCTACAACCCAAAGTGTGAGAAGTCCCAGAGGACAGGAGAGTGCAGGCTCACACAGCCTAGCCACTTACACTGTGCCATTATGCTTGGAGCCCCATCCTTTCTGGAGAGCTTGGCAGCCTTCTGGGTTTTCTTCACAGAGACCATACAGAAAACCAGCAGGAAGATAACAACCGTCAGGACATCCACTGTAACACCCAGCACGATGGTGGCATTGGGCTTTCTGCACACACTAGAGAAAAAGCACAAGCCATAAATGGTGAATCTTATCCAAAGTCTATAGTCTCTGTATGTCACCCAGTCCTCAAGAGGACCCCATTCCAGGGACGTGCTGTCTGCCCCACAACACAGGTGGACAAGAGAGCATAGCCTCAGCCCCCATCAGAATCAAGGGCAGTCTCTGTGACCCCCAATACTTAAAGGTCACTGGGCCTGGCCTCTTATTTACTGAGAAGGTTAGGGACATGCTTGAAGGATTCTAAGCCATCTCTGCACAGTGGAAATGGGGACCCCCCTGGGAATGTCCGTGCTCATGGCCTGAAGACAGGTCTTCAGCTTCAGGTTCTTTACACAGAGTCTGTGTCCCCCTCCACATTCTCATGGGTCCCCAACTCAAGGAAGGGTTGAGGAACAGTAGACTCCAGGTCTCTGTCCTGTAAGAGTCACCGTGTACTGCCGCATATTCTGTGGTTACCCGAGTGGCTTTGCTACCTTTGTCCCTTCAGCCCTCTAAGTGTGGATGACATGGGAACTCGAATTCTGGAGTTGCACACCTGAGACCTGTGAGGACATCTTGATTTTTGCTCAAATCCAGCATCTTTCACATCGTTGGCCATTGTCATTTAACTCCTCTCCCAACCACTCTAATCCCCGACTTCCGTCTCAGCTGCCGGAGGACTCTGGACCTTCAAACTCTTACCAAGTCCTTTACTTCTATTCTACCATCTTCATCCGAGTGTAGTGTCTGTCCTTCCAGATTCAGCACAGATCAGTCTGTCCATCTCCAATCTTTTAGTCCTGACCAAGCAGCACTCCTGGATAGGACCATGTCTATCTCAGCTCAAGACAGGACCGTGCCCTCTTGGTCCTAGACAGTTTAGATGCACTTTGTACTGACTAACAGGGCAGTGTCCAACTGACAAGGAAGCAACCACCTGATACCCTGAGAGGACTATTTTCTGGCTCCTGCTAGGACTGTATCACCCTGTACCCTGTCAGGACTATATCACTACTATATCTACCTGGTCCTGGACAGCACCATGTCCACCTTGTTTCCTGAGAGTTCTGTCACTGAAAGGGCCATGTCCACCCTAGATGTCAGCTGGGATTAAACAAGATACTGTGGATATTGCGAGTCTTCTTCTGGGAACTTCTAACGGCTCCCTGTATGCTCAGGAACAGAAGGGTGACAGACCTCCTTGTCCCAGTGATCCCATTTTCCCCCAGTGTTGGGGTCTCAGCACTATGTAAAGGTGCATGGTGAGCACACGGTCTCTGTATCATTTTAACTGCTGTTGTAGCACCAGCCTGTGCAGGGCATTGTCTGACAGGACCATGCCAGGAGTCTTCTCTCTTTGGAATATGAACCCTGTGAAGATCAGGTCAGGATCTCCAGTTGGCAGGCAAGGACCTGAGTTTAGTGGGGCCCAACAGAGCTGTGGGCAGCAGCACCCTATACTTCTCTGAGGTGCCCCATAGGTGTCATGAAACAGCTAACAGACTCCAGCCTTTAGGGCCCTCCCATCAAATGGGAAATGCTGTCACCATGTGGTGTGATGTTTCAGTGGTCCCCTGCTCAACACATACTGGGGCTACCCCCCAGGGGACCCTGTCTGTTGTCCATCTCTCAGTGCAGAGCCAGGTAAGGCTATGGATGCCAGCTTCCCTGCACTATATACCTGCCCAGGTATGCAGAATAGTTCTCTTCTTGCTGCTGGGGGGGGAGGGAGG